TACATTTCGGATCAATTCGGATGCTTATGAGTATGTGGCTGATACAGGCTGACAGCCTGAAAACAATGGTTTGAATAAAATGAATAGCAGTACGATATCAGGCATAGTCGACAAGAACGAGCGATCTGCTGTCAATCAATTCAGAGTCTTCGGTAGATCATAGGCCTTGTATCGATCCGCCATTTCGGCGTCGGGGCTACGTCTGATATGTTCATAAAAAGTTAATGCCACCGAGTGCTTTTCAGTCATACTCGTCTGGTGTTGTAGTAAATCCTCCATTGTAATCTCTTTATGGACTAGCCTGTATTCCGAGTAAGCTCCACTTCTCGGCAGGTATAGAATTCCTAGGTCAACTGAAATCCGACTGTTCTACTTTCGAGATCTCCAAAGTCAAATGCAACATACCAGAACAGTTGAAAGACAACTCCACCATTAAAGAGCGCATAAAAATCCATTCGATGCTAGTGTGGTAGTACAAATATGTGAGCGAAGTGCCAGACTTTGGCAAAAAAACTGATGCCAAGCTGTTAGGAGAACGGCAGCGATAACAGTACTTCGGGTGCACATCGTGATCTAAAATGAAGGGCCATGCATTAACTACTCCAGATGAAGGATAAAGGATAGCCTTGGGGCCTTAATCAACCCCGTCTGAGGGATGCGCTCATGCATCTTCGGCTTCCATTCAGAATCGCAGTGACGTATTGAATGCCTAAGTCCTTTTATGATTTGTGGCGGCCAGCCGGTGTACAAGTCAGTGTTTTTATCCTTCCGAGTCTGGTACCAACAACGGACCCCGGAGGGATGAAAGGCTTGGTTGGCCTAAGCGGATATCGATCCGGGATTCGAACCCGTGACCATGTGTGGGTGAAGTTGTCACTACCCACTATACCACTTCCGCCTTGAGTTCCATCTTAATGATTCTTATGTCAGAATTTTCGTTCAACTCCAAAATGAACTGGCAGACGTTGACAAGGAGAAGGTTCCTGATAACGTAAGATTTCATGAGCTCAAACTGCGCTTGTACCCTTTTTGACTTTATTCTTTGCAGACTGAACCCCATGCCGAAGTGAAAACTGAGGAAGCGAATGATGAAAGTCTAGGGAAGTCTCGGTCGTCAATAAGAGATCGAGCTTTCAACTCCGTAATCAGTTTTTGTCGAGGAAAGCGAGCCATTCATTCCGAGGACCAAGGTTGGTACTTTTCTCTGTTAAATTCAAATGTTAGGAAGAGCATGCTGATAACAGGACTTGAGCGAAAAGAAAGTGAACAAACAGACGGACAAAAAAGACAAATTTTCCTTTGAACAGTTCTATACCAAAGCCAGAGGATTGTTCACAGCACGTGGCATTTGCTTATTGTTCGAAAAGTATTGCATTTCATTTAATTGCACATCTCTTTCAATTGCCTATGAAGTTTGAAATACCCTGGCATACAGAAATTTCTCCTAGCAACCAACCAAACGAAATTTCAAAGAATCAACCGCTGGGAGGTTAGCGAATTCTCTCTATTTCCGCTACTTAAGGGGCTTGTGGCTCTTTAAAGCTTTACGACCCGAAGACTTTGCTACACTTCGAAAATCTCTTACCCCAAACTACATTTTACCATCCTCACATCTTGGTTTAATAAAAATCAGCAAGCCTCATCCGTACTGTAGAAAAAATGTCACAATTAGTGAAAATAAGCTTGGGTAACTCAAACGTCACTCTGTTCCCCATTGCTATGAGCGAACCTCATAACCTTGTAAACCCATAACCAGTGTAAAAACAGTCCCTAAGCATCACCTGTTTTGTTTCAATTCTGCTATTTTGTTATTAACTTAAGAGACAAGGTTTATCAGTAAGTGCTGGGTTCTGGGCAAAACGCTGAGTCCCAGGTCTGGTTTAGTCTTGGATGAAATGAGCCGATGCCCGTGTAGCAACAGGCCAATGCGCTTTATGTAGACAAACTCAGCAAGGATGTGACATGAGGATTGTTTCTTCGGGGTACTTCACTGATTTGAAGCTGAAAGACACAAGTATTCCTGAATGTTTAGTACACTCCAAACTTACGAATTTTCTTTTGCAGTGAACAACGTGATTGTAAAAACTGAGAGCCCAGATACCGCAGCTGAATCGGAGCTGTGTGCTGTCAAAGAGGAACCGCAGGAATGCAGTCAAAGTGAAAACAATCCCAAAGAAGGAAAGTTTACAAGAAAGACACCAATGAGGGACACTGCAAAGGCAACGACTGATGGAATTGAAAAGGCAAAAAGGTAAAGGATTTCAGGTGATAGAATTGGGAATAGGAATTCCTTATTTACCAGTTGTTGAACGGACATGCTGGCATCATTCATCTAAAATACATTTCTCTACCTCCTTAATTCTTTGTCCTGGTATGTAAAGCTTCCAACGTAGCTATTCAAATACGCAGATGTTTCCATAACGATTGAATAGAAGACATGCCGAAGGTTTAGGAAGACCGATAAAAAAAGAAAAAAGAAGAGGCAGCAAAAGAAGGGGTGAAGGTAGTTGGTAAGGTAGTTGATAGGGATTGATAGGCAAATTCAACGTCATAAAGCCCATCCTTTTATCTCCCCACCTCCTCCCGCTTCCTCCCACCTACTTGCCGCCAGGTGGTCCATCATACGACCCACCGGGCAGCACTAACATTGGTATTTCGATTTCTGACTTACTTAGTTCGACCCTATGGGTGCGTAAGTCATACCAGTCTGTCCCCGTTGTGGCCAACAAACTAGATCACAAAACTTGTCGAAACTTATAGTCACATCAATTTCGTACCCAAGGGCGGTAAAGAAATAAATAATAAGAATTTAGAGAATATTGAAATTGAAAATGAGAAAATGCCACTCAATTGACAAAACGTATAATAGCTAACATCATACAATGGGGCGCCCCTGGGTGTATAATAAATAAATAAATAAAATAAATACAATCACTGTACAATTGTTAAAAAAATAATAAAGTATGCTTGTGGGCGCCGGTTCCCGCTCATCTGTCGTTTTCGCGCCGAAAGAGGTTCTTGTGCACAGGCCGTCAAACTGTTCCTGGGGACGACTATGACCAACAATTTGACGAGGAGATGGTTCCGATTGGATTTTTTTTCTTGTTTCACCTTCTTCCCAACTCTACTTATCGACTGCTCGGAATGAAAACACCGTATTCACAGTAGGAGTGTAAAAGCAAGGGTCGGTTAAATATGCGGTAGCGGCGAGATATGAACTGCGATTAGGCTACCGACCAAGTTTTGAAGAGTCAGTTCTGAAATAAAGGAAAAAGTCACATGGTCACTCAGTGGTACTGGGTACAGTGGCCAAAGAATTCCTCCTAAAATTGCTCGCATAACCCATTTCCTGATAAAGGTTAGCCCAACTGAATTAGCGTCCGAACCCACCCTCCTGCCCTCTTCTCCTGACAAGGAATTACCTAGCAATCTACGCTATCTACTTCTACTTACTATTAGTTCTTTGAATTGATTAGATTCCAAAATATTCGAAGATTTGTCCTCGAAATGGCTGTTCCAGGGATCGAGCACATGGCTATGAGCAAACGATTGTGAAGGAGGTATCCATCTAACGAGTTTTTCTAATCAAATATTTAAGAATCAATCGTTCAGCAAGTTCCTTTTGTTATTTCATGTACACTACAAACATGTACCTAGTAGTGCGTAGGAGTCCAAGATACTTCCAATAGGCGTAGTCTTGAAGAGATAGGGAACACAAGGATTTTTGTCGGCTCCTTCGAATTTCTCTCTGAAGTTTAGTCGCACACAGGGGCAGCTCTTCGAAAAAAGCGGAGAGTGGCTTAGGGAGTATTTAGGCGAATATCAGCTGGAACAAAGCCCTTTCAGGACTATCAAATCACCACCTAACTTCAGCCACCCCCCCCCCCCCCCCCCCCCCCCCTTCCCCGAAGCAACCAAACCAGGTCTTGAATTTCCTTTGACGGTGAGGGGATGCAATGCTATAAAGCTCTTTCTCCACATCCCGGCGGTACATCGCGCCTTATCGTTGGATTAAAACAATTCAGACCGAACGTAAGCCCATCGTTAATTAATGGTCTGCCTAAAAATTCTGCTGGAAGAAGAAAAGGAACGCAACACTAATCCGCAAGATTGCGCCGTGCTTTTCTATTATAATTCACTCTCCAAAAATTTAAACGCTCTAAACAAAAGAGTAACGTTCAACAACACAGTTTTTGTTTCCGGAGCCTGCTTCACCTGGTGTGAATCTCGAGGAGCCCAAACAGTCTTCTCAGATAGGTGGGTAAATGCTATTGTGTGTCACTGAACTTGAACATTACGGAAAGATATGTATTCAGGCGAAGGCATTGAAATGAGAAACGATTTCACAGACGCCATCTTACAGCTGGATATCAGCAACAGGTAGAGTTAAACTATCTTACTTTTGGGCATGGTATAGGAATCGCTATGGTCCCCCGAAAACACTGTTTTTGTGATTTCAGCCATCCTGAGCCAGTAATACCAAAACTCGGGACGGACTTTGAAAGTGAGTTTCCTTACTTGTCAGNAATGTAAGATTTTGTCTTTCACCTTCATTTGAACTCCAAACACTTGCAATGCTTCGTAGATGCTCTACTTCTACTATACTTTTCTGACCTAATGCCATATCCCTCCAAAAGGATTTCTGCCGTGGGTTTCAGTTGCGATGAGCCGGGCCGAAGCAGCGCTCTGTCACCCATATGAAAAGAAGATTGTAAAACTGGAACAACAGTGAGTAGGATTCGACGAATCAGATCCCAATAGCCTCTCAGTCGGATCTCAGCGCACAACCATATCTGCGTTAAGAATCGTACCCTTTCAACTTTATTTTGATGGCACGTACATGCCTGTATTCTTCCTTTCACACCATTGACATTGATTTTTTTTCTCTCACAGGTTCGTCAGAGTTGAAGTCCCTACATTCTGAAAAACATTTTGATAGATAACTCTATTTTTATTTCACAAAATTTCACTCTGATGTTAGATTTCTTCGTAAGGATGCAGAAGAAGTCTCATCAGCGACACATCTTTTGTTCATGGCACTTTGTTTTTAGCATGTCAGATCGTTCATAACAATAAAAGCATATACAACGTCAGGTTACTGGTAAGAAATGATAATACAAGTTTAAGCAAAGTAACAAATCAGCTTATTATGCAATGTATTCTCTACACCGTTCTAGAACATTAGTCTCTACACCGGTTTGAAACAACCATTAAGTCTCGAAACACAGTGGTANGTATTCTCTACACCGTTCTAGAACATTAGTCTCTACACCGGTTTGAAACAACCATTAAGTCTCGAAACACAGTGGTATGTCACCATCTAATTTACATAAATGTAAAGCTCTGCTACTAGAATGACTTATTCGTATACGACTCTCTACAGCTACCGATTTACTGACTTATGAAAGGTATGGGTCAGGAGACACCACCGCGTCCATCGTGCGGAAGAAGGTCACCGCGTGCGATGACCTCAGCGGTTCTAATATCTCGCCAGAAAACCGATAACACTATATTTCCTTATAAAAATTTCTGAACGCTTTACGGGAAAAAAGCAAGTCTTCAATTACCGCTCGATTGGTGGGTTACAAAATCTCAAGCAGCTGTTTTGGGATCAAATGAGATCGCCGACTGACCTAGTTTCTAATGGTGACCTCAATGGCGCCTCCAGACACATACCTGGATCAAGAAGGAAAACAAACTGGACAGCAACTTTTGAAAAATGAATTACAAAAAAGCGGTTAACACTATAACTGAAGCTTATTGGAATAAATATGGCTAGCAAGCATTGGTAAGTAAGCATTGGCACCAATTCTGAGGGATCTAATCAACACTACACGCCCCTATTATATTTACATTTCATTATTATTCAAGTGC